ATATACATGTCTAATACACATCACAAGTCTTTTACGGCTCTCACAATGAAGGAGTTTTTGTGTCTGTCCGATCGGCTTAATGGGAGCTTAAACTGATTGCTGTTCTTCCTAAGATTATATACAGTGTTCTCTCTTGGTGGGATAAAGTCATTGCAGGGCATATAATGGCAAGACATCTTACAATAGTCTCCCCAAACAACATAGAAAATTTGAAATTCTGCTAGAAAATATAAAAATATGTTCTACTAAATGAAATTGCAATTTGCTGCAACAACAACATACTGTGCCAAATCGCTTTTTGCCAGTCAATAGGGCAAAACAAGCTGAAGATTTGATTTCAACAACGCAAAAAACGGTGGGATAACAGCTACAAGTACAGTGGGGGTCCTTCATAATAGCCAAAATTGTCTACTTATTTGCCAAGAAAGTTTACAGTCGCAAATCTTTCCATATTTTGCAAGAGCACATGAGAACTAACAAGCACTTCTGCTGTATAGAATTTGCTATTATGTTTGGGTTCATTTAGATTGTGTAACAATACAATGCATGTGCACCTCACACGTTATACATGACAAACTGAAGTCTGCACAATTGTTACCTTTGCCTAGAAGGTTATGTTTTCACCAGTGTTTGTGTGGGTATGTGTATGTATGTATGAATGTATGTATGTATGTATGTATGTTTGTATGTATATATGTATGTGGTTAAGCATGATAACTCAAGAAGCGTTGGGTGGATTGTCATGAAACTTGGTACATGGGTAGGTCTTGATGAAACCAAGAAATGATTCAATTTTGGTCCCCCTCGCAGCTTGTAATGGTACTGCAATGGAACTTCTGGTTTTGATATCTCATGATCTGGACAAGCTAGAGTCACAAATTTTGGATGCTAGATAGCTCTTTTGCTCCAGAAGAAGTGACATTAGTTTAGGCCCTCTAGCAGCTTGTTTTAGAAATGCAGCAGCATGCAAATACAGATGTATGTATGTATGTACAAATGTATGTATGTGTGATAACACTAAGACTGGGCTACGATTCATTTAAATATGCAAATTGGGACACCAACATGGCAGCAGATAAATTGAGAATCTTACCCCGTTCCAGCTTGGTCGGCAATCCCAGCTGCCTCAGCTGTGGTTCCATGGAATGTGAGAACTGAGGTAAGGGTCCCTCGAACAGGACCACCGTTGAGACGGCCTTGTTACCCGACCGCGCAAAATCCTTCAACTGGTACTGGGCAAACCAGCTGCAACCAGATATTAACCGCAATTAGCCTTCTCAGAGTTCAATATTCAAAACAAAAAAATATTCTGGATGAGGAAATCTGCACATTTGATACTTGAAATGTTTGAAATAGCCCATAAACAAGTTATGCTCTCCGAGATACATGTACTACCCATAAATACCTAGAACAGCTAGAACCAGCCTATAATACAAACATACAACCATTTTTTGTCAGTGGCATCACATTTTCACCTCACAGATATCAGATAGGGTTGAGTCAACATACAGAAGGCTTATTGGAGATTTCTTGAATAAACAAAGGCTCAAATAAACAAACAAGCAGACTTACTCTACAACTTCTTCTTTAGTTTTGTTGGTAAAAAACATCCCTGTCTGCCCTCGCAGTCTCAGGCTGACTTTGTGTAAGTTTTCCCGATACTCGTCTTCCGGCCCTCGTCCTAGCGCTACTGACATCACTTTGTTCTTACCGAAAAAGAACCTGCAATAAAACAAGACAAAATGTTTTTAAAAGATGACTGCACTGGTTACTTCAAGATGGCTGCACCTGCGCTGCACCTGCGCGAAACCTGTAATGTATTGTGCATAGCACTTTAGAAGAACGTCTCATATAAGGTTGTATTCGGAACATAAGTTTAGTCCCGCTGTAGTTTCCAAATGTTATGTTGGAAAAGATGGCATCTGCAACAGGCAATGTTCTCATGCAAGATGGCCAACATCCACATGCAAATTGGTCACGCAGTATGTTCTGCTGATGTCCGCTGCACCCAAATTTCAAGATGGCTGCCCCCATGAAACTGTGGGTAAAACAAAACGCTTTGCTTGTAGAAACTGTAATATAACCTTACATAAAAGGCGACTGGATAAATTCTGAGAAATTGTCAGATAGCAGAGTTTGTAATAACCACTCATACATGTACCACCAATAAGTTTTCCTGGCATGCATGTTCTTATTAGGAAATCCTAATAAAAGAAGCAAAAAAACATCATACCTGCTATGTTTCCAAATAGTGCGTACTTCCTTCAGCTTGCTGTTTCTCATGTTCTCCACAGAAAACGTGAAGATACGTGCGTACTGGTCCACACATTCTCGGATCTGAAGATAATAAAGATAAAAAAGAAGAAATGCTTATGACTATGAGCACAAAAAATATACCACTATATCTACATTTATTAACGTGGACTTTAGCCTCTTCCCTGCTACCTAACTCCATAAACATAACAGACTTATGCTATGAAGTTGAAATACATTTCTCAAGATAGTATAAATACGTAGTAAGCTTTCAGCTTATATGAAGAACTATCTGTTACAAAGCCTGAAAAGAAAGGAGTCATTTACTATAACTGTTACATACATGTACAGTATATACTGTAAGAAGAAACATTTAAAAAATTGCTTTGATTATTGAAATTTCTTCGGTGTACAAAATGTATAGCTGAAAAAACTACATGTAATTGCATGAATATATTGCAGTCTCATTAACAATTATGTTATGGATGAACAGATTACTGCAAACACCTGTATTTCGTTTTTGCCAATTTTGGGTACAATTTATTTCTACGATTCTGTACCAGTATGCTATCTATATAATAATAAGGTTGTTCCCGAACGCTTTCTGCGACAATATTGAGACTATATCCTTCGATCTTATCATTCACAAGTTGCTGGTGATTCTTTTCCGCAAACTTGATAATCTTCTCTGAAAATTGCTGGTGGGTTTTTCCAGCGAAGGCGATACAACTATATTTTCGGTCCATTGTCAGGGCTTGAAATACTTTTTTTTTTGGTGACATACAAAATCGTATAATGGCAAAAAGTTGACATGCAAGTTAAAAAATCTGCAAGCAAAATGGAAGCGCATGCCTGCAAACCTGACAAATTTAGATTATATAATTAGAAAAATCATTGGCAGGGAAAAGAGGAAACACCTTACATTTTAAATGACAATGACAAAATGAGTGTAGCGATGCTGCCATAGCTGTTTTTCCACAGTCTGAAGAGAACACTGCCCAATGTTTATGTTGATGTTTATGTCTATTACTAGAGTATCAGGAACTCCATTCGTAAAAACAACAGTTGCATACTAATCTTCCTGGAGTCCTAATTACATCATAATAAATACAAGTACAACATACATAATCATATGTTCAACATGCAAAATTGCAAGTTCAGATTATTTTCACGGGCAAAACCACATGCAGATTGTAAGCTGTATATTGGACTCATGTATTTCGAGCCCTGCTTGTGATGTTCCTGCTTTCGCATGCGGCATCAAAGTGGACTTCCGTGCCCGGGGGATTCGCTAATAATCCGGCTACACCGTATTTCCATCTCCCCTGGGCCGCTTCCTGTAGAGCACCTGCTAATAGCAGGGGGTTGTCATGGTTACGGTGTTGCCATGGCAACAGGCGAGCAGAATGACGTACATTGTGGGCAAGGCCCCCTAAACAACGTGTAAATGTACTGTAAGAAAATCACTTTGGGGACATTGCGTAAAATCTTCTTTACTGACCGTATAGATGATTTAGATGTTTTCCTCAAAGTTGAAAAGAAATACATGACACTGTATTACCATTTTATGTACGATTGTTTTCGATATTTTGGAAAAATCAAATTATGTTACCTTATGTATAACCATGATTTTATCAATTTTAGTGGAGTGTGTCTAGATAACAATATCTGTGTTAGAAATACTTTTATTACTATTAGTCAGTGTTTTGCAATGTTACAGAATGTCAAAATTTGGTTCTGCAATTTAGAAATATTTTCTGCAAATATACAGTACAAGCATAATTACACGTGACGCAAGATATGTTGTTTGCATCAGTGGCATATCTGGGCAAAACTGGCCAATCCACAGATCCGGTCAGGCTAACACCATTGAGCCGCTAGCCTGATTTTTTTTTTCAGTCTGCAAAACTGCAGGTTGCTTAATTTTTCTTCTGCTATAATATTAAAAATGTCTCTGCAAAATGCAGACTGTTTTCGAATTTTATTTTAACACTGAATGTGCTTACAGATAAAAAAATCTGAAGTAAAAATAATTTTTATGACTGCCTTACAGTTACAGGCTATTATCAAAAATTATTTTCAGTGACTGAAACAAAAAAATTCCTGTTTTGAAGTCTGGACCACTTCCCAAGTACTTGGAAGTCAATACACTTACAGGGCTTGAAAAACACAGTTTTCCTTCTACAATATTGCAAGCTATCAAAATTCCTACCTACAAATTAAAAGGGGTCTCTATAATGGACCAAGATGATATGAATAATATTTGTAAGCAAGAGAGTGCCCAAGGCTTGAAATACCCACCTGAAAACTGTAGGAAAATTTTAAATATAGCAGGTTGGAAGATTTAGATCATTATGATAAATAACAATACCTTTAATGTTTTTATCCTGATAGCAAATTTGACATGTCAACAACACATGGTTATGAAACATACTGTAAATCACTTTATGTTTGCAGAAGCAAAGGTCTGAGAAAAATGGACATGTTTGCAGAACTACTAGTATGTTTGCGGTGGCGGGTAGAGCTTAAGAAAGTCGGCAAATTATTTGTTCACAGTAATGATAAGTTCACGGTATAGAAGTGACCACAAAAACCATGAATATAAAAGTACTGCAGAAAAATACCGGTAGTGATTTACAGTACATACATACATACCACTGACTTGTTGTTAACATGTAGAAACCAAAGGGGGTACATGTATGTGGCTTTATTTTCCAAAAAAAGGGACGGATTGAGCCATGGTCTTTCTACACAGGAAAAGAGCTACCTTAGCACATTAAAGGTAAAAAAAAAAGAAACGTGTTGTCAGTAACATAATTTTAGTACACATTCACAATAGGATAACATGTACTGGGCTGGAAGAAACTGGTGTTACATTAATATGTACTGACAAAAAGCCATTACGTCATTACGGCATACATAATTAACAAGTATGGCATCTCGACCCTGCTATGTGTAAGAAACTCCACTGAACCTTTTACCTAGTAAAGGCACCCAAAGTGATTCAAGGGCAGTCAAACTTGATTTTCAAGGTCAATTTTCTGGTCATTCTTTCATGTAGTACGTAGAATCAACCCTATCCCATAGCATACTGATATCTGTGAGGCAAAAATGTGATGTCACTGACGGAAAACGGTAGCTTGTTTTGTATCATAGACTGGTTCTAGCTATTTATTGGTGGTACCAAAAAATAAAGTGACTCCTCCCATAGCTTGTTTTGGGCTATCTAAATGCTTCAGATATGAAATGATGAAAAAAATGTGCTAAGAAATGGCAGTAAATGTCAATTATTTCATTAATATCAGATAGATTTCCTGAAAAAAATAAATACCAGTACTTCCCTACAAAAGATTTTAAAAATGGAATAGTCATGAGCTTTAAGAATGCCTCTGATACGAAGTTATGTCAGCAGAAACTAAAAGACACTGTGTGTGCTATCTTTGAATAAATTATCATATCAAACAAGCTAAGACCCTATATCCTTTTATTTCCTAACTTCCTGTGTGATACTGATACCACCATACGTGGGTCACCATATACCATATACAGTATACATATCTGGGTGGGATATATGCACGCTGAGTCCAGGCCAAACCAGACAAGACTAAGCGACGAGAGCGGACACACACACTGGCAAATGGCGGAGCTATGTGGCTGCGTATCGGACGCGACCTACGGTACAGACCATTACAGTACCAAACCACGAAAGGTGCGGAGAATACGAGTAAAATGGGTGAGTTTGGACGCGAATACTTCTGCCTAAATATAAGGACTTTCAAAGTACAATATTCATTATTGCAACACATATATGAAAATGCTTAAAGTAAATGCATGAGACAATTTCAATTCTTCTAATCTACGCAAATAGTATAGTACACTAAATCTTTTAGCATATGCATAAATTATAGGTTATTTAAATTTGTTACGTATCAATGAAATAATGATATTGTTTATTTGGGGTGTTGGGGGTATAAATGCTTGACAAGTGAAAACTTGGATGCCTGAACTTTCCCTTTCGTTGTCTGTTCATCCTTAAAAGTATCACAGCACACTCTATACTTGGAAAGGCCAGTTCCTTTTTGGAGTGATCGCCATTTTTCTCAACCCGTAAAAGTGACTTTGACATTCCTTGCTGAACGTTGCACTAACTCTTTCCATTAATTTTTCTTGAGTCATACAAATGATATTCAATGTGAAATAGATAGAATATTTAGAAATACATTATTTGTCACAAGCAAAATATATTACGCTCTTCAATTGAATTCTAACAGTAGGGAAAAAAATGCAGTGTTCAAATTCAGAAAGGTTTTCTTTGATGAATAGGAGAATGAATCAGAATTACCAAGAATTCCCTCTGAATATATAATCAATATATAACAGTCAGGGGTGATCTGTCATTCGATTTGGGCCTTGTGGCCTGGTATTCCCCTGCCATATTGGCAAGAAATATGATTACTTTAGCTCGGCGGGCAGGTCTCTCAATGAGTGGAACGCTGCAAAGCTATGTTCAAAATCAAAAACACAGTTGATTTTATGAATTTTCAAAACGTAGTAACCTAATTCTCGTAACCACAATTGCACTGTAAGGTTGATTTGAATTAAGGTTGGTTGATTGATTGATTGATTGAATATACTTAGTTCTCCCATATGACAGTGAAAAGTACAATAGCTTTTGCACTGGAAGCATTTTTGGAAGCATTTATTGTATGTACATTATAGATAATACACCAACACCACAAAAGCATTAAGAGGATACGGTAAGATTGACATGTATTGTGTGGCGAGCAGTAGCAATAGTTGGCATGAAAGACCCAATACATGTCACTTGAAGTCTTGCCATATGCTGCCGGTAGTATGCATTTGCCTGATAAGCTACTAGTACTGTTGGAGGCAAACAAACATATAACGTTTCCAGTAAAGATAGTGTCATGATACAAAATATTTAAACAATTGTATTTTAATTTTTTGAAAAATTATATTTTTTCTAGCATAAATTATTTGAACATGTGACAAGTATAATATGGTCTATACATGCAGTCATATGGTATAAAAATTTCAAAAACTGTAATTAAAGTGCTACTTTCTAAAAAAATGAACATCACAATATAAACATATGCACTTCCAAAGGTAGCCGCTAGGGGTCCTATTAAAAATCGTAAAAGGCATAAACACATAAAGTATTAGAGAAAAAGTATTCAGATCTTTCTGACTTAACTTGTTTACAGATCAACCAAACAACAACTGGTAACGGAAAATAATCTTCTTAAGTTAGAGCCCCCTTCGTTTTTGCAAGTTGTCAAACCTTCGAAAGTCTATGTTACAGCATGGTTACAGTAGTACAACACGTGTGCCAACATGTACCTGATCCACCAAATTCCTCTTCAGTTCCAGACCCTTCTTCCGCGTTGACGTCAACGAAACTGGGGGATAACATTAAAAATATGTCAAATCATAAGATCATGCAGAAAAAAATGGAAGATCCGCCATAGAATGTCAAAATAGCTTGCAAAAACTTACTTTTCTTGTCACGTTTCGACTTCGGCATGATTGCAAAATCTTTGAACTAGTTTGCCATGCGCAATGACCTGCGGGTCGTTTTGTGTCAGAGGTGAAATTACGTCATGAAAAATTTTAAAATAAAACAAAAATGTATTTTTTACATCCAAATCATCCTATTCGTTTCTAAGTAGTTTTTAAAAGTGCAGAAAAAGTTTCATAGGTATTAGAAACTTGTTTTCTTGTTGGTCGTAAACAAGTATGACATCATTCCTTCCTCGGAACCAATAAATTTCCATGGCAACGCTGACGTCATCCTGACCCCTGCGAAGGCCGGTGGGAATCCCCGTACTCGGCTCTTCGGAATCTTAACCACATCACCGCCATCAGTGATCAAATAAGCTTCCGCTATGGCACTATAGTCCAAATTTCTATTCAAACGTCAAGAATTATCGAAAAAATTATACATATTTTGTAAAACATTCCGTGTTAATAGATTCATGAAAAAGTGCACGATTTGCTGTAGTCTGAGATTATAATTATTGGAAACAGTCACATTGGCGGATAGATACCAATGTTTAATTGAGCGTACTCAGTCCAGAGTAGTCCGCCATTTCTCCTGATCGAGGAAGAATTTGTTGGATTTTGGTTCCAACGGTTTTCGACCTTTTTGGGCCCAATTTTCTCCGTCAAATTCTCTCCTCCACTAAAATATCCACCTGCAGACCATGGCGGATAAGGACGAACTGGTGCAGCGGGCCAAGCTGGCGGAGCAGGCCGAACGTTACGATGACATGGCCCAGGCGATGAAGTCGGTGACCGAAATTACGGACTCAGTGCTCAGCAACGAGGAGAGGAACCTGCTGTCAGTGGCCTACAAGAACGTCGTGGGCGCCCGGCGGTCATCCTGGAGGGTCATCAGTTCCATCGAGGGGAAGACCGAAGGGTCCGAAAACAAACTCAAGATGGCCAAGGAGTACCGTGCAAAGGTGGAGGCAGAGCTTGAGGAGATATGTCAGGATGTACTGGTGAGTACACACACCCAACATGTTCCGTCTCTACTGCACGTTTTTGACACAATCCATGGTTTAAAATCTTACAGATTAATGTAGATTGGTACGCTAGTGTATGTTATTTGCAAGAAAATCTGACGATCATCGTAGAATATTATAAAACAGTGCTGTAAGGATATGGAGGCGGAGTCAAGGAGACTGCTCCGACGTCATGCTTTGGTACGATATTTCATGTTACACAAGACTATTTTTCCTCAGAATCACAAGAAACGACAGAGAAAGTTTTATCTTGAGTGGTTATTTAGAGCTTGGTGGGGTTATAGGCGGGTAAAAGATGGTGGTTTGGGGAGAGATCGTCAGATAAAGGGGGTAAAAATCGTGTAGTACGTTTGCCGCATGCATACGGCACATGATGTTCAAAATGGCGGACAGCGCTAGCGACCGTTGCGCTGGTCCCCGACCTTACACAGGTTACTGCCAGATTCTTTGGGGCAAATATCCAAGTAGAAAGCTAAATTTCCACAAGCCTGGCATGTTATAAACAAACAAACGTCGCCGTGTTGTGTTTTCTGACGACTGGGGAGGTGTGACGAGGAAGTCGCCTTCGAAAGGAGGGAGCCCCACCCTAATTTTCGGTAGGACGGTTACATTTTCTGGGTCAACAGAGGGAGGGGATCAGCTTTCAAAGGCTTCGCGCCCAGGATTCACCTTCAGTTTTAACCTCTGGGACGCCCCTTACGGCGCGCGGGTTCGTTTTGGAAGGGTTTGTGTATTTTCTCTGGAATGTTTGGAATGTTTTTGTCAGGATGCGGAAGCGATTTGTAGGAAGGAGAGGCGGAACACAAAAGGGTGACATCATCCTGCACCCACCTAACTCGTGCCCAGATGGAGCGGCCCATGGCGGGAGGGGTCGGGAGCGGCCCACGATTTGACATTTTTCTGTCCCAATTCAAAACCACAGAAGCTAGATAACATCATATTTCAAGAAATCTTCCTGTTGAAACCTGTAGAGACTCAGTTTTTAAATTTTGACCTGTTTTGTTTGAAACTGAAACTGAAAGAAAGGTATGTGTGGTTCCCCTCCCTGTAGAAAAAGCACCCCTTCCCAAAAAGTGTAAGATCCTAGTCCTTTACTACATTTTCTTGGGAAAATTCTGAAAGATTTCTGAAGATTGTTGGGGTTAAGACAGGGTAAATTTTTACTCTAAAATGCAGTGTAATTTCAAAATATCTCACATCCTATTTTGGGGGTGACTCTATATGATGAGTCACTGAAGGTCTGTGTCAGTATTTTAATATTCAGCTATTAGTTTTTTTCGCATGATATTATCTGTCAGAAACAGCGAGAGTAGAGGAATTGATTTTTTTATGGTGACAGATCGTTAAGCATAATCAATAGAAGACGTTTTATTAGGCAGAAATCTGTGGATGGTTGTCACATGGTGTCTGTATGTACGTTGAGTTGCCCTGTAATGTAGCATGCTTAAGCAGGTGATTCAAGGACAGTATTCCCATGACCAGGTTGTCTGATGTTTTACTTTGCATGTTGTTAGAAGGCTCACCCTGTATTATCAGATTTGGGCCTCCCATGGGATACAGAGCTTTTTTTTTACATCTCCCGTGCAAAGCTAATTAAGGGCAATTAATATTTCTCCAGCCCAGTTTCGGTAATTACAAAATGCATGAGAATTCATTATTTTAAAAGCCAGGTAACAGCTGATGCTAGCACTAGGTTGTACTGATTTTTTGTTTGAAATGTTCAAAGATGTGCATGTTTGAGTCCAGTGAAGCATGCAGATAGGTGTCGTTATCATACATGAACAAATTAGTTCACACAAATCAGGTTTGACAAGTAGGCATGGCTAGCAAAGGGGTCGACTGTTTGTCACTGCTAGATCTTCCGTTTGTGAACTGGGAAGAAAGAGAGAAAAAAATGTCTGAATTATTAATCAGATACCCCACAAGGGAAGGAAGGAAAGCCTGGGGGCAGGTGAAGTTTCGAGAATGGAGACGGGGTTGCATAATGGAGACTGTAATGAGATTGCCCTGTGGCATAACGATCGTTGCTGTCTGTTGGCAACCGACTGCTTTTCTGAAGCAGGTGCACTGACCCCCCTCCCCCCTTCTCACACACATGTGACTCATGTCAGTACAGAACAAGTTGGAATCTTCTTACACCACAGCGTTTTGACATAAGTGGCAGCTGTGTTCTAACCTATCATTTTAGTCATGGGGGTAGACATTGTAATAAGTATGTTTGGCTTGAAATGTGGCTCACGTGGTTTGAAATACTAATGAATAATGATGACCTCTTAAGTCAGGTGGTAGTAGTTTCACCTGTGGTCATACACAGATACTGTGCATGAAGGTGCAAATTTAAATGCTTCAGATAAACATGACTAATATGGACTTAAGCCTTTAATGTATTACAGTATGTCAGAAAGTTGGTACTTGCAGGAGTGACTAAAAGCTTTCCAAAGCCATTCACACTATCTGTGTGAATATATGATCATGTGAAGTACTTTTTGCTGGAGATTTCGATACTCAGTATATTTCAGTATTGCTACGAGTAAGCCCTTCCAGAGGCCAGAGTTAATGTTATAGATCAAATGATTAGCATGACATTGTAAGTTGTTACCTTTTACTGTAGTCAGTAGCATTGATGGTTGGAAGGATAATTAGATGAGTATGTTTTAGTGTCGTCTGACTTCCAAATATGGGCAATACGTATAATGCTATCAGGAAAATCAGGTCTTTTTTGCCAGTGGCAGTTTCAATGGTGAAAAAATCTGTGGCAAAGTGGTGAGATCTTAGCAAGATAATAGACATTACTGGGATGATTTGTATCATACTCGGATGTTTTTATCCTTTGAAATATTTCTTCTATATTGCTAACACATCACACCACATGCATGTGATATCAAGCACAACCTTAAATGCCTCTTTCCCCCCCTACCGAGAATTGTGGCCACATACACCCGGTTTACACGGCGACAAATTCCGTGCGTACGAAAATTGCGTACGCACGCGAGCGTACGTTCGTTTCTGTTTACACGCAGCGAGCGGGACCGCTGGGGACTCCCGCTGCGCCGGGAACACCGGTTCGGTGGCATGGCGGCCCCCAAGAAGCCGTCAAGGAGATCGAAGTACTCCCAGTTACTTCTCCCCCCTCCCACTACGGTTGTTGTTGTCCTTCTGCCTACGTGTACATCAGGTCGCTGATTTTCTTCTTTCTTCCCTGTTTCAGCGTCCTGCTACTAGTATCCCTGTTCCCTCATCCCCCGCGCGATTTCCTCGTATGCCTCCTTTCTCTTCACCGTGTTCATCTTGTTTTTGATTCGGTCGTTGCTCCAGAGACCGATCAAGCAGCGAGTCTCCTCGCGCTATTGCGTCCCTCCATGGCCAGTGAATGGTAAACAGGCTTACCAATATCCAAACAATCAAATGTGATCAAAATACTGTGAAAAATGTGAAAAATATAGGGAATTTGCATATGACCCCTGACATCCTGCATCAGGGAAGTGCGTGCGTACGATCAGTCCTGTTTACACGACGCCCGGAGGCACGAAAAGTCATAAAAACTCCCCGCTGGGCGATCGTACGCCACCTCTAGAGGTGGCGTACGAAAATTTCGTACGAAACTTGCGTACGCAAATTGGGACCTGTTTACACGGAGGGAAAACCTTTGCGTACGCAAGTTTCGTACGAAATTTGCGTACGCCATTTTCGTACGCACGGATTTTGTCGCCGTGTAAACCGGGTGATACTCTGAAGGATTTTCAGTACTGAATACTACTGATAGATTTATGAGACAATAAAAGCAGTAAACATTTGGTTCGGAGTAACTACAATCTCGGGGTCTTAATTTTTGTAACATTTAAAGTCAGTATACATGAGACGTAGCTTTTATCACTATCAGTTGTGTAAAAAGACTTCTGGACTAGAGGCGTATTCCCTTGGATTTTTATTGTCGTAGAAAGATCAATATTTTCCTGATGATTTATGCAGTGTGTATTGCAAGGGATCGTGGGATGAGTTCATTTTCTTCCTTGATTTATTCAGTAGGCCTTAACAGTGGCAAACTCCCATCGAAGGCTAGACTAGTATGTAGCATTTCCCTTTAAGAATTTGCACTTCATTTGTTTTAATTTGCAGATTGACTTCATCAACATGATTGGCTGATTAGCATGATTAACATTCATGAGATTAATTAACTAATGACTTGGATGCCCAAGCAAGAAATACAGGTTTTTATACTGAAGCAGTTTTTATAGAGTAGCAAAACTAGGCTTATGTCCCAGAATTAGGCCAAGAGTCTGTCAGTAGGTTGATAGTTTGTTGGTTCAACAGAAGCCTGATGTTTGCCGAGAAACTTAACATGACACACATACACACAGAGGTGAACGTCCTTAAAAGGCGAGGCTGTATTGTAGCCTGGTCTACCCAAATAGTTTCTAGCCATTTAGTGGTTAATTTTGCTAAAGAATGTTCTTTCCAGTGTGGCTGTCATGTTTAAGAGTTGAGGACGAGGGATAGGGGATTTTTGTAGTGCTGTTGGAATTTTGACCATTCTTTCTTGTCAGTTAGTTGGCGTTCTAAGCTACTGTAAACTTGTGAAATATTTGTGGTATTTTCATGATTGCTATTGTCACATTTTCTTACAGTGACCTCATAACACTAGTGAACATTTTCACCATGTCACAAATTCAGGTGTTCAGATAATTTACAAGTTGCTGGTTACTGTAGATTATGAAGTATTTGTCATATTTTTGTGGCATTTTTTCTCAGTGAGCTTCTTGCACCTGTGAACATATACCTGTTGTTTCACCGGAAAACTCTTAATTTCCACCGTTTTACTGATTTTGGGGTTGCAAATTTTGATTGAAATAACATAACATTTAACGACCTGTTTGTTGTGTTTTTCAGGGCCTGCTTGACAAACACCTGATTCCCAGGGCTGACTCGGCAGAGAGCAAAGTTTTCTATCTGAAGATGAAGGGAGACTACTACCGGTATCTGGCAGAAGTTGCCTCCGGAACGAAAAGAGATGGTCAGTCCTCGTTTTCTCGCATTCTTAACGAACTAAACGACAAATTTTAATCGTATTCGTCCCGCGGGTTTCGTTCATTTGCCTAGAATTGCATGTCACGTACGGTATAGAAGTGCTTAATGCACTGTGGATGTTAATAGTCAAGCGGAAAGACCGGAAATGAAAAAGAGCGGCGAATTCATTATTAAGCAGTAAATTGTCTATTGGCTGCATGTGGTAATGACGCATGTATTCTCAATGGTCCACAAAACAGTAACAGCTAGACAGCATTTGTGTGTGATATACAGGATATTGAAACCCTATTTAGCTGTTATATAATTTTTCTAAGTAAGGAATGCTGATTATTCATTTGATGATTAAATTGACAATTCTGTGCACCGTGAAATGATTGCATTTGGCAAATTTCAGGGGGTTTTCTTCTTTTCTGACAGTCATTAGAGAACTCACAGAAATATTGAAAACTATGGATCGTAGGGTAAAAGTTGACATAATTTTTATAGCTTCTTATATCTGTTTTTCAGGGATACGATTAAGAGAAATAATAGAAAGCTTAGTGACTATTATTACATTCAATATTCAATCCCTAGTATATAACCAAGTACATGTTTTTTCCATTGAAAGAAAAGTTACATTTCAGGCTCCTCTTTCCAAATCTGTACTATGTGCAGTTTTTAGATGTTCGCCAAAAGCACAACTAAAACCAATTGTTACAATTTATGTACAGTATCCAGTCAATGTATTGTAAAGAACAACCCTTGTTTGTAATGTGACAGTAACTTGTTTGTGGAGTAAACAGTTGTTTTGTTTGTTTTGTTTTGCTTTTGTTCTTTGTACCATTGCTGGCACAACATGCCAGGTAAACATCAAGCCTTTACTCTATGTTCACCACAGATGTAGTAAAGGATTCGAAGTCAGCATACGAGGATGCTGAAAACGCAGCAAGTGAGTTGAGTTCGACACACCCCATCCGACTTGGCCTGGCGTTAAACTTTTCTGTTTTCTTCTATGAGATCGTAGAGAACCCTCAACAAGCCTGCAAATTGGCCAAAAAGGTACATGTTCCACCCTTAGGCGCTAAGGCCCACACGTCTCTATGTCTGTACACACACTCACCTGTCTTACATCTTTCTTCACAGAAGTAGTTCGCGAGTCACAAACTGCTTACCAGTCAGCGTTTGATATCAGTAAGACTGACTTGCAGCCTACCCACCCCATCCGCCTTGGTTTGGCCCTGAACTTCTCGGTGTTTTACTATGAAATTCTAAATGCTCCCGACAAGGCCTGTCATCTCGCCAAACAGGTACGGTTGTGTGGGATCTCTCTTCTCCTCTTTCCAGATCCTGTCTCAGAGATAGCAACCCACGTGCCATGCCTGCCTGAAAAAAGGGCAGAGAGAAGAGAAAAAACACCAACTCAGTTCCCCCGAGTAGAAAAAGGAAGCATCTGTACAGTGACGTAGGAAAGATTTTTTAAAAAGTTGCAGAAGTTTGCATGGGTTGCGGTAACAGAAGAGTAACAATCTAACATTTTACAACTACGTGAAAACAATTTGCAAAGACTGAATGTGCCAAAAGAGCCACTTCATTGTAGCTTCAGCAAAAAATACATGCTTCTTAGTTCACACTCAAGTTGTTTTATCAAGATGAACCAATTCTCAGACTTTGTGTAACATAAAAGACTTTGCGGTGATAATTGCAGTTAATGTAGTTTTAGTAAAAGTAGAAGTAACAACGTATTAGAAAAAATGGCAAGTAGCACTGATAGTTACAGGCAAATTTGTGGAGAAAAGATAAAGAAATGAATAACCAGAGGCAGTGCCAAAATCCAGCAGATTTGTACCAGAATTTAAGGAAAAGTAACGAATGGAAATTGTAGGGAGATGTGGTACCTGGGTTGCTATGATCCATTATGTTATACTTCTGCACCGTTTGTTGCACAAACCTCTGTGCAACTCCTAACAGCACTCCTTCGCTGTTGACATCTTTACTCGTACCTACCTATTCATTCCACTTTACACTACTGCTACTACCTCAACAAGTCGCTGATGCTTATACTCCGCCCACCCACCGCCACCAACCAACCACGGATCTCCTCTCTCTTTCTCTGATCGTATGCTTGCTTCCGCATCGTACTACTAACCTGCGTTTCGGCTCCTCTGACGAATTAATCCTACACAGTGCAAGTTGTGTTGTCCACACCTAAACTGATGGTCTTTCATCCACGAAAACATTTTCTTTTCGTCTTTTCTTTTCACCGCTACTTTCTCTTTAACTCCACCCGCTACATCCGAGAGTACCCGGCGAGTTTGGACCAGGTGGACAAGGCAGCAGTTTGCACTTTGTCTGGTTTTTTGCCGCTGGCTCGATTCTGAGTTTGCCTACCTACTTCCCCACAAGATTTGCGGCAAGCTCATTTAAACAAGCATGTCCTTTCGCCCCCCTCCCCCTTGCCCCCAAGCAAAACCTGGAGCTGATACTATAGTACAAGGAGACACGTGATACTGACTTGTATCTGTACTGGAAAAAACAGATGGAATGAACTGCCAACATGTGTTTCTTGTGGGTAGAAATACAGTACATTTGGTACTGGAAGGTTTTATGTTTTTGTATTGAATGAAGTTCTTCTCTTTCTAGCACAAAAAGTGTATTTGTTGAGATGAATTGTGATGATACATTCCACAAGTACCACGAAACAAGACCTCAGATTATATAAGAAATGTTCCAAAAAAGGCACTTGGCCGTTCCTTACAAGAACTGATAACTGAAAAAAAAGAACAATTCCTAAGAAAGGCTACCAAATCTGAGGTCTTTTAATGGAAATCCGTGGAAATATTGCTTCTTGAAAATTTGCTGTGCTCAGAATAAGTAATAATTAATGAATGTATTCTCTGATATGCTTTGTACTTAAATCAACTAATGGCTGAACAGTTCAATGTATTATGGATTGTTGCTGCTATGCTAATTTATTATTTTGTAATGGTGAATGCTTGTGCGGAATTTGTGTTACTGTAAATTTTTAAACAGGTACAGCTTTTGCACAGATTGCCTGGCAAATTTGAACTAATTTATTTTTTTCCAACAGCAACCTGCTTGTATTGATCTTGACATATTATCACAATTTGCTTGTTTAAAGATCTATGAGTCTTGTGATGTTATGATTCAAAATGCAGAAATATTATGGCAACATTTTGAGGAAGAAATACTAGTATATGCATCATTGCTTGTTATCTTGTTAACTATGGCATCTTGGAAACAGTTGTTATGCTGTAGCAAGCTGTGCTCCTCTCCAGATACTATAATGCCCACTGTATAAATGCTAAGTACAAACAAAGGAAAAAAATTGCTGTGTTTATTCTAGTCTTTGCATTGGCAAAAAAAATTCGCAATCTCATACTCGAACTAGCCAATGGAAAGTACTTTTTCACAGTGCGTGCCTGTTGTAAAATTTTTGACAATTGCTTTTCTTGACAAGTTAACATTGTACTAAAAGTTTTTGAAGGAACACAGCTTGTAGCAGTTAATATTTTATATAGATCTGAATGCCTGCTACGAAAACTATGCTATCAGGCATTCGTTAATGTTGTAAGATACAGTGTATTTATAAAAAGAAGGAATAGTTGTAGAGACTAATACAGGTTCCGCCTCTCCACAGGCATTCGATGATGCAATTGCAGAGCTGGACACGTTGAATGAAGATTCGTACAAAGACAGCACTCTTATCATGCAGCTGCTCAGAGACAACCTCACGGTAAGTGGGTAGTGATGGAAGAATTCAGGGTAGTGATAGAAAATCTTAGCCTCTACCAGGCTTCGGGAAGCGGTCGAAAAGACTAGATTGGCCAGGTAGATAACATGTCAGGGAGTTGGTCTGCTAAAGAATACAGCTTACCAAAGCCTGGTATAGGCTAAGAAGATCAGGTCCAGGGCTCAAAATCCTCTATTCTGTACACCTGCATTAACTGCAGGTAACATTGAAAGCTACCCACACCAGGCAAATTTTACCTGCACTACAGTTCTCTAGAATTTAATCAGCAAAAAATGACAAATTCTTTCGGTAACTATGGACAGAAACTAAGGCCATTTGGACATCTTCAATACTCAATTTGGCTTGTCTAATATGAAAAGGAAAACCATGTCAGAAAAAATTATGAATGTCAAAACTTTTTGGGGGTATTGTACCTACATGAAGTATCATTTCAAAAGAGTGAAAGCTTTCAGTGGCTTCTAGCTTAAGAGGGCAAAACTTGAGGCCACTTGACAACATTTTGCTTTGACTTGTAGAATTGCATCCACATCCGGACTGATTATGAATTTAAAGTACACAATGGCTACTCCATTGTCATTGGCCAAAACTCATTTATGTTGGAAACCTAATCATTTCGCTAGCTTAAGTGCTGAATGGTGGGTGAGTTAGTGCTTGTATGAGGTTGGACTAGAATTGAATGTCTTTTGAACTAAATAGATTATGAATACGTGAGTTGAATGGACGAATAAGTGTGGTGTGAATGCACCTTTCTGGTTCAGTAATTGGTACAATGATATTTTCCCAATCATTTATGCTCGTGTTTGTGTTTAAGTGGTAAGGATTTGAGTGGTAACAAGTGTGTTAAAATTGTGTTTTTCGAAACAAATTATTTAAGGCAGCCACAAGGATGTAAATGAATTACCAAGTCATTTATTCCCAGACTTACTTAACATACAAGGGATACAAAATGGCACAGTAATACAAAAGACAGGGAAAAGGGCATACAACATACAAATATCACAGAAATGCTGCATGATACCTTGTTTGAAAGTTCTGAATAGCATTCTCAAATGGAAATGTGAATAAAAAAAGCACCAAAATGTCTCTCAGTGCACTGCATGGTGACTAGAATAAAATATCTTGCCAAGAAATTCAAGAGCTTTTTTATGTTTAACCCAAACAGTTGTCTTTGAAAACCCCATGCACCCTCATTGAAAGTCCATCCATAAAATTAACCTATTTAAACCAAACCTGTCCTCTCCTATGTAGAACATTAGACGTTTAACCCAAACAGTTCATTGTTTTGAGAACCCCATGCACGCTTTGAGAATTTCCAAGTTGATCTGTGTAGTTGAAGTTAACCTGTGAAAACCTGAGGTCGGCATGGATTCAGTGCTTTTAACCTGTCCTCTCCTATGCAGAACACTTAATATTCAATCCAGTTTATCACTGAGAACCCCATGCACGCTAATAGAATCCATTGGGAGTCAGTACTTTAAAATTAACCTGTGAAAACCCGAGGGTGGAGTGGAATGAATGTTCTAAATCTGTCCTCTCCTACGTGAAGTTCCTGCTGCACCAGAAAGCGGTGGCTTACTGGAAACCAGAGCCCCAGAAGAAGAGACTGCTTCTGATCTCGAAGGAGAAATGGTGGACGAAGCTCTTGTTTTGTACCAAGGTGTTCGCAGAGAAACAGGAACCGGCGGTCGCGGACTTGAACAAGAACAACAGCAACAGCAACAAGAAGAAATAAACAAACAAACCTAAACCCCGACCTCATTCCTGTTGGACACTGATCTGACTTACCCACAATTCCATGTACCACAGAACCCACTTCACCCACAGTTCCATTTTACCCACAATCCCACTTGCCACTATCAGGAAATTTTCCCTCTACCATATTCATCACAACTGGAATTCTCAAAACTAAACAATGCAAGTCTTCAGAAATTCCTTGGATGTATAAATATAGCACATTGTGATAAAAAATCAATCCTAAACTTCAGAGTCCTTGATGTTCCATATCCACCTTGAGATGGCAGTTTTTTTAGGTTGGTACATAAAATGGATTTTTTTAAAGGACATGTAACCTGGAAACTACCACGAATTATGTTTTTCCTACATAAAAATGAAAAGTGGAAATGATTGGCCAGTTAGCAGTATGTTTTAATTTGTCTTCAAATTTTATTTTTATTTGGGAAGTTTTTCTATGCTTGGCAGTTACTGTGGAGGAAGGCAGGTTGTATGGGGATGTGTCATTGAGAGAAGTTGGGTTGCCAAAGTCAGATTGTGTGCTATGCCACCATTCAAGCACACATTGAAAAAGTGCTTACCTGAGTAAAGGGTAAACTCAGAAACAAGGAAATTGGAACACAGCAAAAAATTCACATTGGAAATTCTGTTACAACAAAGTCAGTCCAGATTTAAGCTATATGATGAATTTCACAAAATAGATCTTGACAAGGAAACACATAATTTGACAACTTCAGGTGTTGTAAATTTTTGGGTTTGTGGAAAAAAAGGGCCGGTCTGACTTTGTTTAAAGCGGTATGCGGATTGTAGAACAGTACGTGAAGGGACTTACATTCCAGTCGTGTATGTTAGACGTTCAGTCCCGTTTGGAGGAAGGGTCGTGTTACTGGAAGAAAGGTGGACATGTTACATCAAGGACTGGACCGTTTCTTCTAGGAACAAGAATTTTCTTCAAGGATCATTTGCAGTAAAACACTAAACGTCACAAAAATAAGCCGAAAGATATACCGTAACACAAAGGAGTTTTGAATGTTCATAGTGGTACCAAACATGCTGCATAGAAGTCAGAACAGACTGTCCCGCCGCGTTGCCTTCGTCTGTCGTAGTTTTCCCGCGCTGTGGCCTGCATAGCCCGCCTGGGGGACCTCACAGTCTCGTCTCTACTACTCCGCCGTTTGCCAGTGGCTCGGTCTTCGGCAGGTTAAGATACGTACGTACGCGAACATGGGCCATTTGTGAAGTCAGGTTTAAAACCAGTACTCTTACCCAGTTTGGAAGAATTCTGTCATTTTAGCCTGCACAAATGATATAAGTAATTTTTACCACACTTTTTTACTCCCTAGAAAATTGAAAATGAAACGCTCCAAAAACTATGGCCATTTTTAAAAATCTTACCCTTTTTGTAACCCTCAGATGATAGGCTTCCAATTTTTTTCAGCTAAAAGATATCTTAACTTGCCTGAGGTTAAATTATTGAGGTATCCCCTTGCCAGCTGTGCCCATGGCTTGTATATTTTCCCTTTGTGTTCCCCTTTTGCCTTCCCAAAATTGAGCTTTAGCTATACCCGCATGAGCAAAATCTCAGTTGTCAATGTTGTAATAGTAAACAGTGCAATTTTTATGTTCATGGCGCCATGCCAGAGGTTTAATGTGCAATAGGTGAAAATTTTTGCCCGACATGGTGAATGTTTTGTTTTTGTAAGTCCAAAAATGTGCATTTAATGTCAAACAAGAGCTGTGTTAAACTTAAAACTTCCTGCTATAAGACAAATGTAATTTGTTTCTAAAGGAAGAAGATATTGTCCTTTTTTGTCCTAAAAATAAGTTTTGTGCCAATTTTTGTTTAATGTTGCAAGTTGTTATGCATCATATATTTTTTATTTTCATATTTTGTTGCCTTATCTGTCAAACAGTGTTACAAAAAAGGAACAAAAAAAAGACAACCAGGTTTCTTTTCATAGAACCTGTTAATATATTACAAGAAATCTAATAGAATTTAATGTAAGACTCTTACAGTAAAAATTTAGTGTGCCTCAGTGCGGTCAGGCTTTCACAGATAACTGTATTTTTGGCGAGCTAAAATTTCGAGACGGAAAGTGAATTGTACCAGAAACATGAACGAGAGTGGTATTAGAAAAAAGCCCTTACACAGGGACTTGTTGGAGAAGCAATTGAACGAAAGGTTTGAGATGACGAAGTATATTGTTGAAAAGGTAACTGATATCCTCTTCAAGAAGGCCCTGCACTGTATGGCACACACATAGGAAACAGTACTGTTAAAAAGACTTTCTAACAATCACTAAGAATTATGTGTTGAGGAGGGGGTTCAAAGAAGACAACAAAATTTCCCAGCAAAAATTGACAGGTCAAAGAAAAGAGATCTAGAGAAAAGGTTTGGAGTCAAAGGAGTTGTTGTAACTGCTATCCACTTCATACCAACCCTCCCTCCATAATTCTTTGATTTTAGCTCTCTAGTCTCTACATACCATTACATGCTGCACACTTTTCAAATTGTACAGTTGCCAAATGGTTCAAATCGTCTCCTCCACAAGTCAGCACTTGTCATGAAAAACTCCCTTTTTCAAGAGATCTTGCATCTTTTCCAAGATCAAAGACATAATCTTGGATTCAAATGTTTGAATTCTGTCAGTTAGAAATCCCTAACTGAAACTCTAGATGCCAAGACAGGTGTTGACTTGCATTGCGAGTCTCCTGTATCTATTCAAGTTCTACAACATCAGACAACGTGATACAGCAAAGTATTTCTACACATCGAATGTTGCAATGGGTAGCCAGGGTCCCTTGTGGTATTGGAGACTTGCAATGGTCAACGGAGGATTTGTAAAAATGCTGCAGTTCCTACATTATTACCCTCTGTACTTGTACAAAGGTAACTACTGTAACAGAACATTGTAAACCTGGACAGTGCAATTTCTCCAGCAATAAAAAGCAATACCAGTACTATTACTTCAATGGCTGTGGTGATTTTACTACTCTAGGTTACGTCATAGATGGTAGACGTTGTGTGTGAATGTTCGTGTGTGTCTGTTTGTTGAACTTTGCAGCGAGATCTTTGCGATAAACTTGCGCTGGCTTCTGTACTGCGTGCAGCGGAAGGTCACACGCTGAAGGGGCAAAAAGAAGCAAAGCAAAAATTGCCCACTCTGCATGCAGTCATTCAGAAAAAATTCTGGAACCAATTTTATCTTCCAAACATCCTTGTGGCTTCCATGCGATGATCAAAATGTCCCGATTGATGTTAATGCATGTTTGAAGCGAAGTGCACTTGTTTCTTTTCTCTCTCGCCTCTCCTGCATGGCTGTTGAGTTGAACTCTGAACTCTGACCTGATGACCTCTGACCTGATGACCTTCTTTCTGTCCCCTCAGCTGTGGACGTCCGACGCCTCAGGTGACGACGACCGCGGAGAGGAACAGCAGGAACAGCAGTAGAACAGCGTCCACGGAGACCGTCAGCACCTACCACTAGTATATTATCTTGAGAATTCCACCCTAGCTAAATTGAACAATAAAAACATTAAGACGTCATTTTTTTCATGAAAAAAAACACCATCCCCATTGTGTGAGTAGTAGCAGTAGTAGCATTGATTCTAGTCGTGGCTTGGCCAAGTGAAGAAGAATAAATAGTAAACGTTCATGGTTATCATATTCTGGTGTAACGGGGGTGAAAAGGGGTATAAACTAATTGTCATTGTGCTGAGTATTTGCGAACTTTGATTAGGTTGCTCTATGTTCGTTCGTTACTTAAACCATTTGTGAGTCCGTTGTCTTTGGGGGAATTACAAAGGTATATCAGTTGTGCTTCGCCAGGGAAAATGTAGACGTAGATTTGCAACAGGAAGAAATGTTCAAATGAAACTGTCGTAGCCAAAAAAAAATGTCTTGAAAAAAAAAAAAGAAATTAGTAAGTAAGTACTTGGATGTATGTATTTCCTTTGCCGGAATGGAAGGATTCGCTGTTTTTTTTTTTCATTCTCGGTAGTTCGGCGGGGTGCGGTACGTAAAAAAGTCAGCCGCTCACCTATAGAAATGGTGGTAGAGTCGAGTCACTTTAATTTGTTGGTTTGATTGTTGTTGTAGACTTGTAGCGCAATGGATCCATGTTTCCAAATGGAGCTCCTCCTACTGGCTTTGACCCGCATTGCACTCAGCTCACTTCGCCACTCTTCGCTGTGTTGTGGGGTTGCTGTGACAATTAGATTATCAATAAAAATAAAATCCAACCCAAAAAAAAGACGTACATGAAATGCAAAAGTACCAAGGACCATTGCAAAACGGTTGATCTTGTTTTCATCACTCTCCTGCTTGCATGCCTTCCCATTTTATAACTGGCCTTGTACTGTGAAGTAGAAGTAAAGAGATATCACTGAATGTATCCTTCAGCCTGGCTTTGTGTGATTCTATCTAATGTGTAGTGTGTGTACATGTCTTCTCTCAGGTGTAGCAGACAAATCGGTACCCCACCCAATAGCTACGCAAATAATTTTACCTTAACAGCTCTCCTTTGTGTGATTTTAAGAATAAAGAAAGCTACCCAAACAATTTTACGGAGCTATTCAACCAGATGATTGCTTAAAAATTGGGCATTTGTCTGCAAAATTTAAGATGGCCAGTAAATGGGAGAGACAAGCTAAGAAAAAGGACCCTCCAACAAATTCCCATTAGTTTACTTGGTAACAAAAACCAAAGGAATTGTAACAAAGCATGAAGAAAGAAACAGCTATTCTTTTCATGGGAACCCCAGATGATTTTAAATGGTTTGCCTTCCAGTGTATTTCTAATGGTTTCTATAATTGGGTGTAATTTGTGGTGAATTCTGTACACGTTGAACTTGACCGTACATCCATATACACCTGAGAGGAGTGTGTACACGCTGGTTAGAATGGATATGCTTCTCATAAAAGTGATCTCTGCAAAGAAACCAGTAGGCTCCTGATTCTGATTTGTGTGGTGTCCTTCCAGGGGTGATCTATACTATAGTATTTCTGCATGGGGATACGGCATAGGAAAGAAATGTTAACAGTTTCCCGACCGAACCTACAAAAAAAGCATGCCGACCATAGCCTTTTCTTTGGTTGTCCGCTGGCTAGTCCAGTAGATTTTCAATGTGAACTTCAACCCCTTTGGAAAGCTATTTCAAGGATTCTCAGAAGCAAATTTTCATCGTACATCGGATGAAATACTGTTGAGCAATCCAACACAACAGGTTTTTTCAGGACTGAAACTGGAAACAACATTTCTTTCCCTAGGCCTAATGCTACTTGAAACACCATTAGAAATTGTTAAGTGTGGGGTGGTGGATTGAATAGAGGAGTAATAAAATAATATGACCTGAAAGTAAAGAATGAAAGAAAAAATCTCGTGCATGTATGTCGTATATTAAAATTCTCTTACAAGCAATTTATACCACAGTGGTTTCTATGGGTGTAGTTGGGTTAGAGAAACAGCCAACTAGTTTCCAAACTATAACCTGCAATTAAATTATCAGAATGGATTTACATTGCCAAGAATTCCTCACTTTTAGATTTGGCCATTTATATTACAGAAGCAGGATAAATTTTACCATTGATACCCTCAATTGATAAATATGAATTGGACGTGTACAAGCACCATTTTTGCCCTGCAGTGGCATGGTTACTTATGCCTGTTCTAAGATCAGGGTGTTTCGGACAATTTTTCAAGTTTCAAAATTTTTCACTTTCAGTACAGAAACCCTCACTACAAGTGATTCCATGCATGATGCTTTTTAAATTTTTGGATGAGCTGTTTTAAAGTTGTGCTCCTTCAAACTTGAGTGCATTACTTTGTATGATGATGCATTACTTTACAATGGCACTAATACGGGTACTACAGCTCATTTGGTACATAACAACAAAACTTGTATCTGCCAATGTTTTATTTCAAATGTGAAATGAGGGAATTAAAAGAAGGGTGCAAATTTCTTAGAAAATTACAACACTTCCAGATAATGTTATTACACTTACTTATTTTGCTAAGTTATATGGTGTATAATCTCTATGGACACTACACATCTCTACACACTACAACATGGTAATTTATGACTCATATTATGACTCAACTTAATGAGAGACCAGTGGTGTGTTGGATACTGGCTGGCCAATTTGATACTGTTTTGCAGCCACCGAAACATCTGCTTGGAGATTATGCCGGCCAACACCACCACATTCACCTGTTCAACATGTGGCAGAGTCTGCCACTCATGGATCGGCTTGTTCAGTCACCAGACGTGCCAGCACCCTCCTGGACCAAGCCTATTACGACTGGGACGGAAGGAGGCAGATGATGATGATAATAAATGGTTTATTGCTCAAACATTACCGGTGCAATTGCAGCCCTCTACAGTGCAGGGTTTACAATCACAAGAATCAATCAATAATACACATGGTACTTGTATTTGCTCCACACACCTCCACACAACTTATCAAAATGGCTTCTGTCATCAGGCTACCTTGTTTAAATGTTTCACACGGACACAAAAAGCAGGCTACTGAAAGCCATCTAGTATTTTAACCCAAAGTATCTAGACACATTTTATGTTACATGTCATATAGATGTTACATATACTCCTCTCACCATATATACATGTCTATGAATGAGTAAGAATTAACAGCATCTACCATGGTCCATGTGCCAAGGTAAGCATTTTCCATTTTCTTTGCAAATATTACCTTTCTAGTTATGTCAAGCATCCCTCAAACTACCAACATACGAAAAATCATGATCGGTCAACTGGTGTTTTAATTATCTTCTCTCAAAGATTTTTAAATCGGCCCAAAATCTTATCATTTCCAGTTTTCGTCACACCCTATCAATGCACTAAATATGATATGAAACCAATCCATCCTGTCATTCTTGTGTTATCTTGTTGACCAACAGACAAATGGAACTGAAAATATAACCCCCATGACATGGAGGTAATGAAAAGTGTTGATGAAATAAAGATCTTGGTCGAAAGCTCTAAGTGAGAGAACTTTTTGTGTCGGATCTAAAGTTTTAACTCTAAATATGTAACTTCCAACACTGATGAACTTTCATGATAAATAAAGATCTTGTTGATCACAGGTATCTATGTACTATATATTGTATATATTACCAAAACACATCGATCCCTCACTTTTCCATGGGTGTTCTGTAAGTCTAACAACGTCTAGTACAGTATTGAGGCCACAACAGTTACTGCAATACTTAATACATGGAACTGATGGTGAGTTCAGCACCAAGGAGAGGTCCACACTTATAATCCAAGGAGAGGTCAAATGGGGGGAGGGACATCCACAAGTTTGGGGATAAAAACACTTGCTGTGGCAGAAGGTATCCTGATCGTTTGGTTTGGCACAGAAAACAAGTTCCAATTTATTCGGTAAGAATAATTACTTTTGATTGGTGGCGGAATGGTGATGTTTAATTATGAAGAGCAATAATGGTATATGATTAAATCTCGTACGCACCCCTATGTAATTATCACACATGGTGCGGTCTGTTCGCTGCAGCTGTGTGACCATAGACTCTGAGGCTGTCGTCTGGCGTGTTGTGCGTGAATTCTCTCCAACTTTTGGGGTAAATTTCCGCCTTTTTGTGTGCAAATTATCCGTCTAAAGTGTACAGTATATCGCCTGAACGTTTCCAGGTCGGATTGATGCCGTTCTTTTGGATGTTTGAGGGAGAATATCCGTATTTCCTGACGGTGAAATTTGGACAAGAATTTTGAAGAACGAAAATGGCGGCTGGCATGGCAGGAAAGACGGCGTGGTGCTGAGAAGACGCGTTCTTGCGAGGTAAGACAACAATTAATCTCCTTCAATGTACATGTTTGTACTTCCAACAAACCTGTAGCAACAGAACACGTTATAAGTTGTTATGTTAACCGGTATATTCCGTAGAAAATTGCCTTTCGTGTACGCTATTCTCGTACACGTGTTCTTAGGCCATGCAGTGGAGTATTTTTGATAGGGAGGTTGTTTCTTCACTATCATGGTTTTGGGGAACACTGAATATATTTCTTTCGAGTTGAGTGTAGTGGCATTGAAGAAAAGCTAGGAGCAAATTTCACTGCTAAAAACGGTTACGAATACGTTTTGTTTTCTTGGAAATTTCCGCAGTTTGGCCCAGTGAACACATTTTGGAACGTACCGCACGTGTGCATAATTAAACCCACTTAACTTTCCCGCCAAAATCGTGTGCATTACATCTACTTTCTCGTGTGCAGAATTTTTCCACTTCACAATGTGCTAATCTCATGTCGTGGTGGTTTCCTCTTCTCTTGTACTTGTTCCTTTTTCTTAGTTTTCTGTTTTCTTTTCAGTCTTCAATTTACATATTTTACATATTCACAATTTCTCATTGGTGCTTTTCAAATCTTGTAGTATTCAATTAGGGCTCTCTGTAGTTTGATCTTGCCTTGGTGGCTACTGTCCTCTAGTGCACCTACATGTACATAGAATTAGAACTCTAAGCGTCCTGCAAGTGCCACATGTTGTATTCCTTCCTCCTCTAGACATCTCTTTCCCACGCTCTTCTCTGTTCCTCATACTACCCGCACTCCCATGATTTTAACTCCATGCATAGATATGATTGATGTTTTCCAGTTTTTAAATGTTCACATGTGTTTGAGGTGCATTCTGAGTTAATTCTGTTATTCATATCTTTGAGTCTTGTATGCCCACTTATTATTTGGTTGAGTAGGATGTTACCAGTCCTGAACTTGCAGTTCCCAATCTTCCTTCCTCCAATCTTTTTGATGGCTTCATGTGTTATCATACTTGTGGTTGACATGTTGTATCATCTTTGCCATCTTTTGATTAGTATGTTGGTGTTGATCTCCCTTTTGATGTCTTGTTTTTTCGTATGTGAGATCAGCATGTGTTCTTTGCAAGCACTTTCTTTGGCCCCTTCTTTTGCCAGTCCATCTGCTAGTTCATTCCCTACTATCCCTACGTGTCTTTGTGTCCATATAATTTGTTCTGTGTGTTTCCATCGTTCTTCAGTTCAGCCAGTGAGTACTTTCCTTGTACTTTCCTTAGATGTACCAATCAGTTTCTTCACATTCTCCACCCCATCTTTCTTGCTCATGGTTTGTTGTAGGTTGAACAGTTTTCTTCTCAGGACTGGCTTGAAAATCGGAATGTCTGGATCGAACTAGACTAGTCTTCTTCTACGATTGCTTTGGCCTTGTCTCCCATCATGTGTTTGTAACAGTTTTCCAGTAGTGTAAGTGTAGCAGGTGATGTTTCCCCTTCCTGCCTTTCTTTCCACATGCTGACTAGTGAGCATTTGACCTAGCAGTGAGTACGCTTTCTTCGACAGAAGTCTGGCATACACTTTTGCTTGACATTCTTGTATGAACAAATCTGTCGGAGTTACATTTGTGATGAGTTCGAATGCTTTTGTTGCAGTGTGGGATAGACATCCAGTTATCTTTAACAGTGCTTGTCTGTGCACCAGTGAAAATAGTTTAGGTTTGGTTAATAGAACAGGTGTATCCTTGCTTTTGAATCAAATGTTGTCACATTGAAATTGGTATTTTACTGGATTTTATACTTCATTTTTGCCAAATTGCAAATGGTTTATAATTGTTTGAAGCCACTGTGGTTGCACTTATTTGATTTTTAGGATGAAGTATGCAATCTTCTGTTATCTGTATAGCCAGTATAACCGCCCGTCGGCATAACACACCAGCTGGTATTAGGTACTTAGTAGTTGGGACGTCCTTAAGTTTATTAGTCATTTTGTACATCATGCATGGTCTGGACATTTTTCTTCTGTCTTCCAGTGACACCCACTGTAGGTTTCTTTTCATTTCTATGACACTTAAGCACCTTTCATACTTTCAAACTTTCATAGTTGTTCATACGAATCTCGAAGCTTGATTCTGTACCCTTTCCAGTTAACTTTGTCTTTCTT